GGGCATATACCCAGAAAAAAACATAATTCCAAAAGACACATGCACCCCAATGTTCACTGCAGCACTATTTACAGTAGCCAGGTCATGGAAGCAAACTAAATGCCCATCGACAGACGAATGGATAAAGAAGTTGTGGTACATATATACAATGGAATATTACTCAGCCATAAAAAGGAACGAAATTGGATCATTTGTAGAGACGTGGATGGATCTAGAGACTGTCATACAGAGTGAAGTAAGGCAGAAAGAGAAAAACAAATATTGTATGTTAACACATATATGTGGAACCTAGAAAAATGGTACACATGAACCGGTGTGCAGGGCAGAAATAGAGACACAGATGTAGAGAACAAATGTATGGACACCAAGGGGGGAAAGTGGCGGGGGGGGGTGTGATGAATTGGGAGATTGGGATTGACATGTATACACTGATGTGTATAAAATGGATAACTAATAAGAACCTGCTGTATAAAAAAATAAACTAAAATTAAAAAAAAAAAGCCAAATATAGTATGGGCACTGAGGCTTTTCCCTTGTCTGTAGCCTCCCCAATCTGTTACCCTGAAAGGGCCTTTCCCACATCTGATTAACCAATAGCTGCTCTCAGGAAAGGATCTCATCCACCACTCCTTGGGAATATAACACTTAAGAATTCAGTGTATCACTTATTGTCTTGAAAAATGATAATAAACTTCTTGAAATTCATGACCTGGATATCTATTCATTCTCAGAGGGAATTATCATGTGTTTACTAAAATATAAATGTTTTAGGCTGAAAATAAAAAAGCCCTGAACCTGATAGATTCACTGGTGAATTCTACCCAACATTTAAAGAAGAATTAATATCAATCCTTCTCAAACTTTTCCCAAAAGATTGAAGAGAAGGGGACACTTCCTAACTCATCGTATGAGGCCAGCATGACCCTGATACCAAAGTCAGACAAAGACACAGCAAGAAAAATACAGATCATATTCCTTATAAACACTGATGCAAAAATCCTCAACAAAATGCTAGCAAACCACATTCAGCAGGATTATACACCATGATCAAGTGGAATTTATTCCTGGAAGGCAAGAATGGCTCAACATTCAAAAATCAATTCAATTTACCACTTGAAACGAATGAAGGAGGAAAAAAAACTACATGATTATCTCAATCAACGCAGAAAAAGTAGGAAAAATTCCACACCTTTTCAAGATAAAAACACTTGACAAACTTGGAATAGAAGGAAGTTACCTGAACATAATTAAAAAAAACATATATGAAAGACCCACAGCAAACATTATACTCAATGGTGAAAGATTGAAAGCTTTTCTTTAAGGAACAAGACAAGGATGCCCACTTTCATTACTTCTATTCAACGGAGTGGTGGAAGTCCTAGACAGAGCAATTAAGCAAGAAAAAGAAACAAAGCGGGCTTCCCTGGTGGCGCAGTGGTTGAGAGTCCGCCTGCCGATGCAGGGGACACGGGTTCGTGCCCCGGTCCGGGAAGATCCCACATGCCGCGGAGCGGCTGCGCCCGTGAGCCATGGCCGCTGAGCCTGCGAGTCCGGAGCCTGTGCTCCGCAACGGGAGAGGCCACGGCAGTGAGAGGCCCGCGTACCACAAAAAAAAAAAAGAAACAAAGCACATCTAAATTGGAAAGGAAGAAGTAAAATCATCTAAGTTCACAGAAGATATGATCTTATATGCAAAAAAATCCTAAAGATTCCACACACAAAGAACCTGTTAGAACTAATAAATGAATTCAGCAGAGCTTCAGGACAGAAAACCAACACAGAAAAATCAGTTGTACAGTTGACCCTTGAACAACATGAGTTTGAACTGCATGGGTCCACTTACACGCAGATATTTTTCAATAATAAATACTACAATGCTAAATGGTCCATGGTTGGTTGAATCCACGAATGCAGAAGAACCACAGACACGGAGAGCTGACTATAAGTGATACACAGGTTATTCCCCACGTTGTTCAAGGGTCAATTGTATTTCTATATACTATCAATGAACAATCTGAAAAGGAAATCAACAATTCCATTTTCAATAGCATTACAAATAATAATATACTTGGGAATAAAATTTAACCAAGGACGTGAAAGATTTGTACTCTGAAAACTACAAAATGTTGCTGAAAGAAATTAGAGGCAAAAAAAAATTCTGTGTTCACTGGAAGACTTAATATCGTTAAGATGTCAATACTACCCAAAGCAATCTACAGATTCAATGCCATCCCATCAATATTCCAATGACGTTTTTTGCAGAAATAGAAAAATCTATTCAAAATTCATGTGGACTCCCTAGGGACCATGAACAAGACAGTCTTTTCAACAAATGATGCTGGGAAAACTGGATATCCACTTGCAAAAGAATGAAATTGCACGCTTATCTAAACATCACATACAAAAGTCAACTCAAAAATGGATCAAGGACCTAAATGTAAGGCCTAAAAGTATAAAAACTGTAGAAGAAAACATAAGGCAAAAGCTTCATGACACTGGATTTGGCAACAATTTCCTGGATATGACAAGCAACAAAAGAAGAGATAGACAAACTGAACTTCGTGAAAAATTTTAAATGTTGCATATCAAAAGACAATATCAACAGAGTAAAAAGGTAACCCACGGAAGGGGAGAAATTATTTACAAGTCATATATCTTGTAAGGAATTAATACCCAGAATATATAGAGAACTCCTAAAACTCAAAAGCAACAACCCAATTCAAAAATGGGCAAAGAACTTGAATAGTAATTTCTCCAAAGAAGATACACAAATGGCCAATAAGCACATGAAAAGATGCTCAACATCCCTAATCATTAGGGAAATGCAAATCAAAACTACAATGAGGGCTTCCCTGGTGGCGCAGTGGTTGAGAGTCCGCCTGCCGATGCAGGGGACACGGGTTCGTGCCTCGGTCCAGGAAGATCCCACATGCCGCGGAGAGGCTGCGCCCGTGAGCCATGGCCACTGAGCCTGCGCGTCCGGAGCCTATGCTCCGCAACGGGTGAGGCCACAACAGTGAGAGGCCCGCGTACCGCAAAAAAAAAAAACAAAAAAAAACTACAATGAGATACCACCTCACACCCATTAGGATGGTTACTAAAAAAAAAAATAAAAACCCAGAAAAATAACAATGTTGACAAGGATTTCAAAAAACTGGAACACTTGTACACTACTGGTACAAATGTAAAATCGTACAGCTGCTACAGAAAACACAATGGTGGTTCCTCAAAAAATTAAAAATAGAATTACCACATGATCCAGCAATTACACTTCTGGGTATATACTGAAAATAATTGAAAGCAGGGTCTCAGAGAGATATTTTGTACATCCATGTTCATAGCAGCATTATTCACAACAGCTAAAAGGTGGAAGCAGCCCAAGTGTCCATCGATGGATGAATGGATAAGCAAAATGTGGTATATATATACAATGGAATATTATTCAGCCTTAAAAATAAAGGAAATCCTGACACACACTACAACATGGATGAACCTGGAGGACATTATGCTAAGTGAAATAAGCCAGTCACAAAGACAAATACTGTATGATTACACTTATATGAGGCACCTGGAGTAGTCAAAATCAGAGACATAAAGTAGAATGATGGTTACCAGGGTTGCAGGGAGGAGGGAATGGGGAGTTATTGTTTAACGGGTATAGGGTTTCAGTTTTACAAGATGAAAAGAGCTATGGAGATGATGGTGATGATGTACCACCGAACTGGACATTTAAAAGTGGTTAAGATGGTAAATTTTATGTGTATTTTAAACACGATGTTTTTAATTGTGGGGAAAAACATCATAATACAAGTTCATGCCAATCAGAGAAAAAAATTTAAAGGGTGACAAAACCAGGTATTGGTAGGTATGTTTCTTACACTGCTGATTGGAGTATAAAATTGATACAATGTCTTCGGAGGGCAATTTGACAATAATGTAGTGAAGGTGAATGTGCAACTTGGTACTTCCATTTCTGGGAATATATCCTGAAAAAATTCTTGCACATGAATAGGGAGAGAGATACAAACTGTTTACTGCAGCACTGTTCATAATAGCAACACAATGCAAGCAACACAACACAATCAATTAGGAATGGATATATATTGCAACTACCAGTTAAAATAAACTAGGTCTTCATATACAGAGATGGGGAAACAGATGAACCAGTTTGCAGGGCAGAAACTGAGACACAGATGTAGAGAACAAACGTATGGACACCAAGAGGGGAAAGCAGCAGTGTGGGCAGGGGGGTATGATGAATTGGGAGATTGGGATTGACATGTATACACTGATGCGTATAAAATGGATAACTAATAAGAAACTGCTGTATAAAAAAAATAAACTAAATTAAAAAAAAGTAAGTTGGGCTTCCCTGGTGGCACAGTGGTTGAGAGTCCGCCTGTCGATGCAGGGGACATGGGTTCGTGCCCCGGTCTGGGAAGATCCCACATGCCGCAACGGGAGAGGCCACAACAGTGAGAGGCCCGCATACGGCAAAAAAAAAAAAAAAAAAGTAAGTTGCAGGATCACTGTACCTTATGGTACTGTTTATGTAAATGTTTGAACCATACATTACTTTGGGATGCCTGCCTATGTCGTAAGCGTGTAAAAATACAGAAGCAGTCATCTTCGGGGAGGGAAAGGAAGAGGATCAGGATGCAGTACAAAAGGGGTACATTTGTGTAACTTTTTATTATGTTCAATCTGAATGGTGTGTACATAAGTGCTTATGTGTATTACTACGTGTTTGTTAGATGTTTAAACTATTTCACTGAAAACAATAGTAAGAGGACTCAAACCTGAGTCTTCTGGGAACTTTTCTTCTAGATTTATGTAATCTGGCAATATTGCAAGTCAAGTGACAGTTAATAGTAGCGTTTTGAGCTATGCCTAATTAGTTTAATAGTTTTCTAAAGTAATTTGTTACTCTTCAAAGTTTGTTAATTCATGAAAAATAATCTTTGAAGGACACTGTTCACAACATTTTTTAAAGTACTTACCTAATAAACAGAGATAGTTGGGTTCAGTTAACCTGGATAGTTTTGGGGCCTGATTCAAGATGTTGTAAAGCTCTGTTGGTTCACACAAAACCAAACCACTCATCCTACAGGGAAGAATCAATCATGTAAAAGCTTAGTGCATCTTTCTATTTTAGATGAATGACCACAAAGTAAGATAATTCAACTCTTTCTTAACATGCCTTCAAACAAAGGTGAAAATAATCATGCATGTGACCAGGGAAAATTCCAAAATTGATAGTGAAATGTGTGTAGGGGAGATAATCATTGCACACGACATATCTGAACCATATAAATACAAAGCAGGCTGTAAAACAGTCACCAATTCACTTTCCTTCAGTAAATAACTACTGAGCACTTACCACAGGCCAGGCACTGGAAATAAGTGTGGTAAACTAGACTTACCCTCATGAAGGTGACAGCCTAGCATGGAATGCAGACACTGGACAAAAAAATACATTGTAAGTAGGAAAAGCGTTATAAAAGAGCCAGCATCCAGTGTCATGGGAGGTGCTAATGGGAGGGCCTCACCTAGCTGGGATCAGAGAAGGGCTGTCTGAGATGTGATTGCTAAGCTGAGACAGGAGGTTAGGCAAGACCTAGGCAGGTGGAGGAGAGGGAGAGGATGGAGGAGGTAGGAACTGAGAACAGGAGGGAACTTAGTATCTGAGAGATTTCAAAAGGAGCCTGGTGTGGCAACAGTGGGAAGAGAGTAATGAGTGAAGACCCTGGGGAGGCCGACGCAGGTGCCCTTGTGAGGGGCCTTTAGGGTTATGATGAAGATCATGATGGTCTGTGGAAGGAGGAGAATGGCTCACTTGTACTGACAGAACTGCCCAGCCAGCCTGGGCTCTGGCTCCTGATTACAGGGCTGCTCTTGGGACACTGGTTCCTTGGCACAACTGTCTCTGGTGCCCCATGGACACTGAGGGGGAAGGCTGGGCCTGTGCAGCAGCTTCCTGCAGGGAGGTTACCTTTTAGCTGGGGTTGGGGCAGCCAAAGACCTCTGAAGGCCAGTCAAGTCCAGGAGTAATCCTGCTCAAAACAGTTAGGGTCCACTTCAGAATTACCAGAACAATGCTCCCCAGAAAGGCTAACCCCTTGACTTGGGCCCTGGATCCTTCACACTTCCTCGAGGACTTCAGCTCTCAGCCTCCCCTCCAGCATCATCAGTTTCATCCTCCGTACAGGTCATTCCTAGTGGCACGCAAACCTCCTCTGTACCCATCTCTGTTCTCCTTTACAGCCAAGACTTCTCAAAAGGGTGGTGTTGGGCTTCCCTGGTGGCGCAGTGGTGGAGACTCCGCCTGCCGATGCAGGGGAGACACGGGTTCGTGCCCCGGTCTGGGAAGATCCCACATGCCGCAGAGCGGCTGGGCCCGTGAGCCATGGCCGCTCAGCCTGCGTGTCCAGAGCCTGTGCTCCGCAACGGGAGAGGCCGCAGCAGTGAGAGGCCCGCGTACCACAAAAAAAAAAAAAAAAAAAAGGTGGTGTTAACAGTGCCTCTATTTCCTCACCTCCAAACTCTAGGTCCAAACCCCTGCTGTGCCACCTACTGCCGGCTGCCTGACTTGGGGGAATAATTAGCCTCTCTGTGCCTCAGTTTCTACTTCTGTAAAATGGAGGTAAAAATAGTATTGCCATTTCGGTAAAACAAGGATAATAGTACTTGTTGTGTGTGGAATAATGAAATTACACATGTAAGACATTCTGAGCAGGGAGGAAGTGTTCAGTAATTGTTAGCTATTGGTACAACCTTCTCCCCTGGAACTTCTGACCCCAAACCACAGAAACTGCTCCTATCAAGGTCATCAGAAATACTCCTCTTGCCTAATCCACTAGTCATTTCTCTTTGTGCTCAAACGTGGAGCCTCAGTAACCCAGTTGAGCGCTCCTCCTTCCCCAAACACTCTCCACTCCCAGGACACCCCACTCTCCAGGCTTCCCTCCTACCTCTCAGACAGTTCCTGCTCTAACTCTCTCCATGAGAATGCCCTTGGGCACAATCATCTCTTTTCTTCTCTATCTACTCTCACCCTGGGACAGAGCTTCTCAACCTCAGCACCACTGACATTTGGGGCCAGATAATTCTTCGTCGTGGGGCCGACCCGTGCGCTGTAGAATGTTCAGCAGGATCCCTAGCCTCCACCGGGTGGATGCCAGTAGCAACCCCACCCTCCAATTATAACAACCAAAAATGTTTCCAGACTTCACCAAATGTCCCCTGGAAGAGGGGCAAAGTCACTGTCAGTTGAGAACAAGCATCTAAGACCTAGAGTCTAGGTGATTCAGCTAGTCCCTTGAATACCCCCTGTATAATAACAACTCCCCAACTATGGCCCCTACTTGACCTCTCCACTGAGCTCCAGGCTCCACTTGGACACCTGGTGGACATCTCAAATAAAACACGGCCAAAAAAGAATGTTTAAATTACACGTGCCCGTACCTCCAATATGTCTTTTAGTCTTCCCTGTCTCAATAAACAGCACCATTTAGCCACCTAGTTACTCAAGGTCACATCCCTAATCTCCCTTTCCCTCAGTCTCTCACATCCAATCTATTAGCTCTACTACCTAAATATGTTCCAAACCCGAGTCCAGGGCTAGCATCCTAGACCAAGGTACTAGCGTCTCTCTCCTGAGGATGCAATACTTCCCAACTGGGCTTCTTGCTTTCTCCCTACAGTCTGATCTTCCCATGGCAGTCAGGGTGATCTTTGCAAACTACGAGTTTGTCTTCTGCATTATTGCACTCATTTGTTTGCTTGTTTTATCATCAGTCTCCCCACAGTGGAATATACGGCTCCTGACGGTAAGGACCTTGACCTTCTTGTTCACTGCTGTGCCCTCACCCGGTGCCCAGGATTTTTGATGCAGACTAGTGCTCAGTAAGCACGTGTTGAATGACTACATTACTAGTCACCATTCCTGCCCTCACCAATGGGGCCATCCTGACCTGAGGCCATACTTCTAGATGCTACATAAAGATCCTTCCTGAGGACACCCCAACTCGTACCCTCAGGTCCTCTGCCTCTGAAAGTCCTGATCTCAGGCCATTCTGGAGGTGGTGAGCATAGGGGAGAGAGAATGGGTTTTGTGTCTAGTCCCACAACTTTGCTAAGCCAACCTAAAAGCTGGCTCCTAACCTATCTGGTCTATTGCTCAGAGCCCATCCTCACACTCCCACCCGCTTTCCCCATTACAACCTCCATCTCTTTATTCACTAGCCAAGGGATTGTCTCTGGGCGTTCAGGTAAAAACCCAGTCCAGCCCCAGAAATCAACTCCTTCCGACATCTCCTTCCCAAAGGGGGCACTCTCCCTTGTCAAGCAAGAGCTGCCTCACTGGGACTTCCCTGGTGGCACAGTGGTTAAGAATCCGCCTGCCAGTGCAGGGGATACAGGTTTGAGCCCTGGTGCAGGAAGATCCCACATGCCACGGAGCAACTAAGCCCACGTGCCACAACTACTGAGCCCGCGTGCCACAACTACTGAGGCGCCTAGAGCTCGTGCTCTGCAACAAGCGAAGCCACTGCAATGAGAAGCCCGCACACCGCAGCAAAGATCAGCCCCCACTCGCCACAGCTAGAGAAAAGCCCGCGTGCAGCAACGAAGACGCAACGCAGCCAAAAATAAATAAATTTATTTAAAAGAAAAAAAAAAAAAGAGCTGCCTCACCTGCTGGTAAACTTCAGGAGGGTAAGTACAGTCCTGAACCTAACGGCACACTTCTGAGAGAAGACGCATCCCTGTGAGCCGTGATGAGGAGGGCCACTAGCCCAGGTGGGTGGAGAACTGGACGTAGCTAACAGCCCTTTCAGCACTACTCCAAATTCTGAAAGGTGGAAGATGTTCTTGGCTCCACCATTTGGGCCCTAAGAATATTCTCATGTTGAGCTTTTATATAGAACCATTAAACAAATGTCGATGAGGTTTTGCAAAAAGTATTTTTCTTAGATGAATTCCACTAAGCCAGTTTTATCCCTTAATTGATCTTCTATATTTCACAGTTAACCAATTCCAAGTTTTTTCACTTTCAATTTTGTTTAGCCAAAATTATTTCTCCCAAGATCAAGTCTTATTTCCCTGTGAATTTTACAATAAATATCTGATTCCTTAATCAGATTCTTATTGTATCGGATTTTACCGAGTATGGTTTCTGCCACTGTGAGTTTCATTTGTAATGATTATTTCTACCAAGTCTCATTTCCTGGTGATCTATTCAAAACAGTGGAGCCAGGATGGCAAGTTTAAGACATCCCCCTTTGGGCTCTTTTAGCACAGCACAGCTCTTAAGAGACTTTCAGGGCATTTAGTGCAATAGCTCTTGCAAGGGTGATGGGGCAGGCAGGTGGGAAGGGAGGTCAAAGGGAGCACCTCCTGGGGATCTGGCTTCATAGGGTGAGAGGATACCAATATTCCTACGAACTGACCCATCTGGTAAATCCACAGATTTTTGGGTGGCGAGGAGCCACCTACCGTCAGGAGAGCAGGGTGCCAGCACAGGCCTCGTCTCTGCACACCGGACACCCACCAGCAGGAAGGTTCTTCACCCTCCCTGTAATGACCTGGCCTGAACTTCAACCTAGGGGGCTTGTGTGGGGCTCTCTCGCCGGTCCAGACACAGCTGGGCTGGAGAGCTCAGCTCCAGTAAAAGACCATGTCTATCTTTGAGAAGGGATGTTTCATTAGGGGTCATCATAGCCTGAGACTAAGGCGAAACTGGCCAGATCCAGGCCTTCTTGCCTCCTTATGCCTGACCAATTCCATTCTGACTGATGGCGTCACTGTCAGAGGCTGGGCCTGACCCCATCCTTCTCACAGGCATTCCAGGGTCCTGAGAGCTTGGTCTAGTGCTCAGGCCCAGACAGTCCAGGTGGACACAACTGATGGGCATTTGCTTCTAGTGGAAAAGAGGCATCACTCAACACTCCTGGAGAAGTCAGACCGTAAGCTTTACTCTGGGTTCCTGGCTCAGGCTGAGCAGGGACCAGAGGACTGCACAGATATGAATCAGGGTCCACAGCCAACCCCACTATGCCCTGGTTCTGTGTGGGAAACTGAGGCTGTGCCAGGATGACCCAGGCT